AACAACCTGCAATGTGCTGGCTGCTGCCAGGTCAGTCCACTGAGCTAAGCTCTTGGAAAATAGGGTGTCTGGGAGATCATGGGGATGCCAGCCTGGAGAAGGAAATGTGGCAGAAGGCAGTCACTTGAGGTCAGGGTACAACCCAACAGCAAGAGTATCAGCAGTAAAACCTTGAGTCTTCCTTCATAACCTTTGCAGTTTTTCAGCAGCATCCAAGCTGATAGAGGCTGGCCAGGGTCCCAGGAATTACTCTACTCATTATTGTCTGGTTTGGCATAGCATGATCCCCTCATAAGTATGTGACACGAGTTAAGTGTATGTGCTCTTTATTTTCCTCCAAAGAAATGTGGGTGCAATCAAGAAGATAGTCTTTGCTGCAAGTTGGGGCCGTTTGTGCAGTCCTGATTGAAGTGTACATTTCCACAAGCTTTTTTAAAAATCCGTCCAGGATGGACACCATGGCATAGTAGGTTAATCCTTCTCCTGCAATGATGACATCCCATATGGGTATTGGTTCTAGTCCCAGCTGCTCCATTTCTGATCTAGCTCCTTGTCTGTGGCCTGCAAAAGCAAGAAAGAATGGCCCAAAGCCTTGGTACCCTGTACCCACATAGGAGACCCAGAAGAAGTTCCTGGTTCCCAGCTTCAGATCTGCTCAGTTATGGCCAGTGTGGGCATTTGGGGAGTGAATTAGCAAATGGAAGATCCCTCTGTCTGTCCTTCTGTCTGTGAATCTTCCCTTCAAATAAAAAGAAAATAAATCTTTTTTAAAAGGCAAATACAAAGTTGAAAATGTTTAAAAAGGCACTTCATGAGCTTTAGAAAACTGTTATTCCAGTGTACCGTTACAATTTTTCCATCATCCTAGATTTCTTTAACTGTGCCCAAGTTACAGACATTGTCATAGATACATAGGTGAGGTCTTCAGAAAGTCCATAGCAAACGTGTGTTGTGAAAAAAGAAGTGTGTGTGTGTGTGTTTCAAAATTCCTTTTGCACCATAACAAACATTTGTAAAGTTTGGTATTACTCATGCTGTCAGCCTCCAGTCACAAGGGAGACAACTGCAGTCGGAATTAACTCACCCACTCAGTTCACTGTTTTCCTTTATCCAGAAAACCACTTTTCCAAACAACTTCTGTAGAAACAGCCATATCACTGCTTCATTGTGCTCCATGTGACCTTGCCTGTCTGCACCCCAGTTGCCAGCATCAGAAATGAGTGAGCATGCTGGAAATACCGTGGGAAACCTGCAAGCGTGATGGTGTGCATAGACAGTGACCAGCAAAGGAACTAAGAGACATGGGAAAGGTCTCCAAGGGGTGGAGACTAAAATGAAGAGTTGACCTTGACTGTGTAACTAGTCTGTGCTGAGTGATTTTTTTTAAGATTTTTTTTTTTTTTGGAAAAGTAGAGTTACAACATTGGGTTGGAGGAAGATAAATCTTTCATCTAAATGATCCGTTCCTTAAATGGCTGCAACAGCAAGGCTGAAGCCAAGAGCCTAGCACTTCATCTGGGTTTTCCACACAGGTGCAGTGGCCCAAGCACTTGAACTATCTTTTACTGCATTTCCAGGTGCATTAGCAGGAAAGTGGATCAGAACTGAAGCAAATGGAACTTGAACCAGTGTTCATATAGAATGTCAGTTCTTCAGACAATGATTTAACCTGATACACAGTAGTACTAGTCCCTGTGCTGAGAAATTTGGACTGAAAGGTGCACTTGCTGTGGAAGGCACATGGAAGCCAGCAACCTGTCTTCCTGGAGTCGCCACCCTTCCGTGCCACTATGGGAGTCTGAGACGCTGAGGGTGGTCATCAGGTATCTCCCTGGGAGTTCAATTTTAATCCCGAGTTTTTCAAAGTATTGTGTTAGCCACAGTCACCAAGGAGTGTCTTCCATGGACTTTTTTGCTTATTTGGGGTTTTTTTAATTTATTTTTATGATAGAGTTCCATAGGCTCAGGGATTTGCCTTCCCCAAGTCCTCCCACTGGTTTCCCCTTTATTATTACAATAGTATATTCCTTTGAAAACACTGCTAAGTCCATCACTCTGCTACTTAAGTGTATCATGACATCACAGGTATGGTCAATGGCAGAGAGTCCAGCATCTTATTGTCAGAATACATCTAATAGTTTCATTGGGAGTCCATCTTTGATTCAGGAGTGGAGTTACATACTACAATGTACATTCACTTCTCATAATAGTCTCCATTATACAGTTCCTCTAGATGAATATACATGCATGCATATTTACTATATATCTATTGTTCTTGTATTGTACATGGACTTTTTTTGCTGCTCTGCCCTTTCTTAACTAAAACTCAACATTCAGTGAAAAGCAAGAACTCGACTCCATGATGGGGTTTGTGACCTCCAAGCTTCCTGATTTCTGCTGCCTCTTTGATACGTATTCGGACATGATTGTTTGCCTAGCTATTTTCAAAAGGAAATTCAGGCCATCATAACAGAGGAGGTCTTTATAAGAAAATAGTTCAAGGAGTGATCTTTTTTCTTAAATGCTTCAAAACATACTTATCTTCTCATTCCATTTTCTGTGATCTTTTTGAAGTTCCCTCATATGCTAAACAAGCCAGCTTTCAACCATGGAATAACTCTGCTCACCTGGGCTTTAATGTGTTTTCAGTGTGTGCAGCTGAGCACACATTAAATTTTTTTGAGCAGCTATGAGCTTTGTTTCTCCACATCTACTTAAAAACAAGCATTTTGAGGGGCAGCGGCATTATGCTAAAGCACGTTAAGCTGCTTCCTGTGGTACCCGCATCCCACATGGACGTCAGTGCATGTCCTACTCCCTGCTTATGCAACCAGGAAAGTGGTGGAAGATGGACCAAGTGCTTAGGCCTCTGTACTTGGAGACCTGGAAGAAGCTCCTGGCTTCGACCTGGCCTAGCCCAGGCTATTGTGGCCAATGGTAGAATGAACTATTGGATGAGTGTTCTCTTTCTCTCTTTCTCTCTCAGCACCTCAACCCCCTTGCCTTCCCTCTCCATATGGAATTCTATCATTCAGATAAATAAATAAATCTTTCTAAAAATAATTTGAGACCAAGACTGTTATGAAAATGCACAATACTTTGTTTGGGGGCATGATCATGAGTAGAGTACCAGCATTTTGTGCTCTTGGTTTGCCTGGGGTGCCCAATAGTGAAAAATGTCTTTCAGGGGAACCCGTTGTTCCTCCTGTCACTCACCTCTGGTGAGTGTGAACTGTCAGAGGCCTCCAGTGAACCTGGACACAAATAGAAATGACAGATGCATCAGCTTAGGCCTTGACCTTCTGGGCTTCCTCTGTAAAGCCTACGAGAGTTCTTTTGAACTTTGCAGTTGTGATTTAAGCTATTACATGCTGTCAGCATAATGTGTCTTACAGCAAAATAGCTAGCTGTATGTTTGCTTCCTCCAAGGTCACCTTCAGATAAAAATGCTGTGAAACTTTAAATAGTTGTTTTCCTGTTCCTGTATTAGATAAACCAAATGGCTTTCAAGTCCTCCACTTTTTAGACCAAGGATTCTGTTGCACTTTTACACGTTAGAGGTCATGTGAAATTAAAATATGCATTTAGTTTTCCCAATGACAGTTTGGAAATAAGGTTCTGATCATAGTGGTTGAAAGTTTCCAGCAAGGACCGACATAGTGCCCTTGCAAGCTAATCCTCTACCTGCAGCACTGGCATCCCATATAGGCACCACTTTGTGTCCCAGCTGCTCCATGCTTCATCCAGCTCCCTGCTTATGGCCTGGAAAAGCAGTGGGGAGGATGGTCCAAGTCCTTGGAATCCTACATCCTTGTGGGAGACCCCAAGGAAGCTCTTGACTCCTGGCTTCAGATCAACTCAGGTGCAATTGTGGCCATTTGGGAGTGAACCAGCAAATGGAAGATTCTCTCTCTCTCTGTCTCTGTCTCTCTCTGTAAATATACCTCTTCATAAAAAAATAAATGTATCTTTTTAAAAAGTTTCAACTTATCAAATATGCCACTTGCCGTTGACTGATTAGTCCCAAATGGCACCAAACAAACTTTCTCAAAACTCTTGTAATCAATGCACACAGCATCTACCCTATCATATATTGCCTTGTACTATCAGTAGTGGTTGCTCTATCACCTGGAAACCCGTGACTCTTCTACATGCAAACACCACACACTGTTTGATCATTGTGCAGAAGCACTGTGCATCTTCTCCATTACCAGCCACAACACCAGGGTGGGCTGCAGGGTGATCACAAAGTCACAGAAGCAGAGCCTAGGCACAAGACACCCTGCCTTTTTGACAAGTGGATCATCGGCCCTCTGTGATTATGTCAACACCACAATTCTATAGAAATTGGCAGAGGTTCATTATTTGTATTTCGTGTATCTTTTACTCAATGGCAAATGATAATCTGCATGTCATATATTTTTATTCTGTGATATGGAAAGTCTTATCCCCCCCCATAAGCGATAAACAAATGAAAGCTTAGAGAGGAAGCCAATACAATGGATCAAATGGATAGTTAAATGGCAGGGATCTGATGAAAACCTACATGTTCTTGATTCTAAATCCATTGGTTCAGAACCTCTGACCCATTGCTGTCCGCCCTATTGACATGGCAAATGTCTAAAAGCTTGATTGAAAAGCCGTGTAAATGCCCTTGAATGACCCATTGGGGGAAAGGACAGTCCTAAGATGCACAAATACACTATTATAAGTTCTAGAACATGACTTTATTACTTCTCACTAAGACACGCTTTCCCACATCATGAAAAGTTGAGGTGTCTGAAACCCTAGTATGGAGACTAGAAATCCTTTTATGATGAGCCTGAGCATATCACCTATATTAACTATAATTAACTAATAGTTCTGTGAAGAGACAGATAAATTAATATTGTTAATTTAAGGGCAATGTCACTGGGAGAAATGTGTAACAAGCCCAAGTTAAATGTTTGATAATAAATATCAAGTTCAAGGAAATGCTTTTCTATCGCAACCTATTACAGAATGAATACCTAAATGAAGAGGTTGATGCCAGAGTTATTGAATACGAGGATAACCGGCCCCTCCTAGATCTGTTTCTGCAGAAGCCAATGGGTTTACTCTCCCTACTGGATGAAGAAAGTAGATTTCCCAAGGCCACTGATCAGACCCTCATTGGTGAGTTTCCAACTGGAGGTGCTGCCATGCTTTTTGGAATAAAGTCATGTGATTCTGGCTGACTTTCATTTTAAGTTATCTGCCATTAAAATAGCTCTCAAGGAACCTGCTTATTTGACTTTGGAAAGACCTTGAATCTGATACCTGGGCCAATGAATACTGAGAACATAACTAAAAGCATGTTGGAATATTGGACTTCTCCATACATGATAGTGGGACCCCAGTCACAGGATCCTGGGCTGGAAATGAACTTAGAAATTTCTAAGTCACAGACTGATGGGCAGGGGAGCAGCCTTGTGGCATGGTGGGTTAGGCTGCCACCTGGGATGCTAGCATTCCACAAGAGCATCATGCAGTCCTGCTTAGTCCACTTCTGATTCAGCTCCCTGATGATGCATCGAGAAGCAGCAGAAAATGACTAAATGGAGTTCCCAGCCAAGTGAGCAGTGAACCAGCAGGGAGAAGTTTAATACCTCTATCTATCTGTAAATCTGCCTTTCAGATAAAATAAACAAAGTTAAAATAAAGAAATTGAGGAATAGGGCAAAAAGATCTAGAATTTAGAAGGAGATAGCTAACAGGCAGGATATGAACCACTTCTAGAATGAGTTTGGAAGACTTGCTTCCCCTTCTATTGACTTGAAGAGTTTATGGAGGATTGGGGTCAATTCTGCTTGGAATGCTTTGTAGAATTATGCAGTGAAACCTTCTGGGCCTGGACTTTTTTGTTGGTGGTGGTGGTAAGATTTTGATTACTGATTTAATTTCTGCCTCTGTCATTGGTTGGTTTAGGCCTTCCATTACTTCTTGGCTAAAATTTGGTAGTTGGTGGGAGTCCAGGAATCTCTGCATTTCTTGGATGTCTTCTGATTTGTTGGCATATAGTTGTGTGTGGTAACTTCTAATTATTCTTTGTATGTCTGCAGTGTCCATTGTGATGTTCCCTTTTTCATCTTTGATGCTATTAATTCTCATTTTCTCTTGCTTTTGTTTTGTCAGTTGGGCCAGTAGGGTGTCTATTTTGTTTATTTTTTCATAGAACCAACTTTTCGATTCATTGATTTTATGTATAGATTTTTTGGTCTCTATTTTGGTTAATTTCTTCCCATATTTTGATAATTTCAAGTTTTGTGTTATTTTGAGGCTTGTTTTGTTGTTGATTTTCTAAATCCTCCAGGCATATACTCAGCTCCTGTATCTGTTGTCACTCCTGTTCCTTGGCATGGCCTCCAACTGCAATAAATTTACCTCTTAAAACTGCCTTGACGCAGTATCCCATAAATTTTGGTATGTTATGCTTGAGTCTTCATTAGTTTCAAGGAATTTTTTGATTTCTTCTTTAATTTCTGCTCTGACCCATTGTTAGTGTAGGAGCATGTTGTTCCAATTTCCAGGAGTTTACATATTTCCTGGGGTGTTTTGGTTTGTTGATTTCCAATTTCATTCCATGATGGTCTGAAAAGATGCATGGTATGACTTCTATTTTCTTGAATTCAGTAAGACTTGTTTTGTGCCCTATCATGTGCTAGAGCCTGGAGAAGGTGCCATGCATAGCCAAAAAATGTATTCGGTGACCTTGGGATGGAAGGTTCTACATGTATCGATTAGGTCCATTTGTTCTGTTGTCTGTGTGAGTTCTGTTGTTTCTTTATTGAGTTTCTGTTTTGTTGATCTATCTAGGTGTGTTAGTGGTGTGTTAAAGTCCCCCACAATGATTGTATTGGCATCAATGTCTCCTCTTAAGTCACAAACTGCTTCTATACTATTCAAGTCATTTATGTATTTAATAGAGACAAGTAGCTCCAAATACTTAATGTCTAAATCATAGTACATCAATAAATCTTCATGGTAACAATCCCAGGTCATCAAAGCAAAATCACTTTTTCTCTTTGAGGAGGCAGAGGTGTATATAATGTAGCTAGTTAGAAGATTAGCATTTGAAATGGTTAAAATGAAAACTTCATGTTATTTAAATATACAAAGGAAAAATGATACTGAAAAAATCATCTAAAACTTTTATTTGAAAGACAACAAGGCAGAGACAAACAGGAAGAGATCTTTAATTCATTGGCTCCCCGTTCACATGCTTACGGTGGCCAAGGCTAGGCGAGGCCAAAGCCAGGAGCCTGAAATCCAATCCGTCTCCCAGGTGGGTGGTAGGAACCCAGCTACAAGAAACACCCACACCATATTGTCTCCCATGGTGACATTAGCAGGAAGCCGAAGGCTGAAGCTGAGCCTGGAGCTGAAGCCAAGGACTCTGATGTGGAGTGTAGACATCCTAAGCCATATCTTAGCTACTGCACCAGCACCATATCACTACACCTGGAAAAGCCAATATTTTAATGTGGAAGATCTGTAGTATATAGGTTTAGTAAGCAATTTTTCTCTGTTCCTACTGGTGACAGTCAGAACCTGTCTCTTACCACTGCTTTCTTGTGACCCAATGACTGGTAAATTCTCACCTCTAATTGCACAGTACTAGGCAGAAAAGAAAATAACCCTAGGGGTGTGAGAGCAGTCAATAGATTGATTTTGATCTCAAAATGTTACTTCTAGGACATACAATGACACATTCGCTGAAGGTGGTAAAAGTTGTTATAGAAATGTAGCTACCTTCTTGATCCTGTAGTACCATTTAAATAACCAATGATAACCTACAGATCTTCTAATAGAAAGGAATGGGAAATACTAAAAGCTTTTTAAGAAAGATTCATTTATTTATTTGAAAGGCAGAGTCACAGAGAAAATGGCTCACTCCCCCAAATAGCCCATTGGTCCAGGCTGGGTTAGATCAAAGCTCAGGTCTCCCATGTGGGAAGCAGGGGCCCAGATAACTGGGCCACCCTCTGCTGTTTCCCCAGGTAAATTAGCAGAGAGCTGGTTTGGAAACAGAGCAGCCCAGACTTGAACTGAGGCTCCAGTATGGGATGCAAATACCGCAAGCAGTAACTGCCACAATGCCAGCCCCCAAACTGGAATTCAAAGTTGCATATTTGATCTCAGACAAACCCGTTTGCCCAATGTTGAGAACTTCCCTACCTCTGTACTCAAATATGCCTGACCACACTCCTCCCCATCACTTGAGAACCTGTTAGAAATGTGAATAGTGAGGTCTACATTGTGATGTGGCAGATAAAGCCTGTGCCTGTGACACTGGCATCTCACATGGACCCTGATTTGCGTAGCTGCTTCATTTCCAACCCAGTGCCCTATTAATGGTCTGAGAAAGCAGCAGAAAATGGTCCAAGTATTTAGGCTCCCACTACCCACGTGGGAAATAAGGAAGATGCTCCTGGCTCTTAGCTTCAGCTTGCCCTAGCTCTGGCCATTACAATCATCTGGAGAATAAGACAATGGCTGAAAGATTTTTCTGTGTCTTTCTCAGTCTCTGTTTGTAATTCTGTCTTTCAAATAAATAAATCTTCAAGGAAGGAAGGAAGGAAGGAAGGAAGAGAGGAAGGAAAGATGGATGGATTTTTGGAGCTCACTCTAGAACTGCTGAGTCAGCAATGCTAGAGTTGCATCCCAGCCACCTGCTTCTTAGTTAAGCCCTCAAAGTGATGCTGAAGCATGACAGGGTGGAGAAATGTCACTATACATCAGAATGGGGTAGAAAGAGATCTTGAGTTTGACTTTACTATTCATGATTCTATTCCAATTTTTCCTAAATTGACTCTATAAAATAGTCAAGTCATGTTCAATACACATTATGCATTTTGTAGTGAAAGAAAATCGCTCAGACAATGAGTATATTTTGAGACTTTCCCACATGCTTGATTTTGGAGTTTAATTATTTTTCTACAGAAAAGTTTGAAGGAAACTTGAAATCCCAGTTCTTCTGGAGACCCAAAAGAATGGAACTCAGCTTTGGGATTCACCATTATGCAGGAAAGGTAAGAACTCCTCAGAATTACAACTGAGTTCCTGCTTTAGCCTTTTATAGAGTGAAAAGGATCATTGACTTAAAATGACTACAGGAAGAAAGGAGTTTCAAAGAAAAGCATTCATTCAGAAATGAGCAGTAGGGTTGCAATCTAGGATATGCGTACCATGGCAGACTATGGGCATATCCTTGAAGAACCAAGAAGATCAGAGTCGTTGAAGATAAAGTGAAAAGGATTCCTGGTTTCTGATGCTGTAAGAAAACATCTGAGGGAGGAGGAGGCAGCACTGTGGCACAGCAGGTTAAGCTGCCCCTGCAACATCCCTTGTCAGAGCACCAGCCTGAGATCCAGTTGCTCAGAGTCCACCCCATCACTCTGCTAATGTGCCTGGGAGAGCCATGGAAGATGCCCAAATGCCTGGGCCCCTGCCACCCACATGGGAAACCAAGATGATCTGGCCCAGACCCAGCTGTGGAGTCCATTTAGGGTATGGCCTAGTAGATGAAAGATCTCTTAAATAAATAGATAGCTCAAGAAAATACCTGAGACTGAACACTTTACAAAGACATATTTTGGTTCAAACTTTAAGAAACTGAAATTTGGTTCCTTCCCTGGTGAGCTGTGTCACATCCTGACTGTGTCACATGCTGACTGACGGCGGCATGGCAAGGGGGTACCTGTGGTAAGAAGGGATCACCTGGTGAGCTAAGGGGCAGACAGCAGGGAGGGGCCCAGCTTGCTCTTTCCTAGCAGCCTATTCTTACAGGACACAGCTGGGGTCCCACAAGACCTGTGTTAATTCAGCACGTCCACTGGCCTCATCAGCTCTCTTGAGGCTCCACCTCTTCAGGGTCCCCCACCACTGTCACATCAACACACTGGGGAGTATGCTTCCCACACATAAAAACCTTGGGGATGGGGAAATGGAGGGAGAAAAGCTCCATCTAAATCAGGGGAGCAATCCTCCTTAGCTACAGAGATCAATCACAAGGTGGTATCCACCCAAGGCTGCACAGCCAAAGGCTGAGTAGGCAACTTCATAAAAGCATTTGTGTGTGTTTCAGCAATCTCACAGTGGCTTTTACATAAAGCTGTGGGTTTTTGTGACAGTTCTCATTGTGAGATCCCTCCCTCTCGTTGTCCCCTAATACATTTTTTATTAGGAATTCATGTAAGTGACTCTATTTTGATCATGACAACTTTGACATGAACATGATGATACAGATGATTATAACAGAACAACAACAGGTTTCAATTCTCACCTGGTCCCAAGGCAGATGGCTCAGTCTCAAGGCAGAAGGAAAAGTGCTTTGGTGGAGCCAGTGAGTTTACTGTTTTCTTCCCTTATCTTACTAAATAGAAAGAGGAAGGGGGGACCTCTCCCCGCATCATACAGGGGTGGGATCCAACCTGCTGATCATTTCAGCCCAAATAGAGTATGACTCAAGTTTTTCTCTAAAATGCACTGCGAAGCTGCAGGGGCTCCTGTTCTCCACCCAAGTCTAAGAGACATCTGTGTAAATCTGTGTTTCCCTGTGACTCAGTGCCAAGCCTGTTCTCAGTAAACACCTCTTGGTGGCTGATGGTGCTCACGCTGACCTTCATCCTCTGTCTCCAGGTCCTTTACAGTGCAAGTGGGTTCTTAGCCAAAAACAGGGACACTCTTCCCACTGACATTGTGCTGCTTTTGAGGTCTTCAGAAAACAGTGTAATTCGGCAACTTGTCAACTACCCTCTGACAAAAACAGGTGAGGAAATTTCCTTTCAGTGAAAAGATCTTCAAATCCAGCTTGTCTCTAGGACTGTCAGGCTAAAGTGTTACACTAGTTTGTTTTCAAAGCATTAAGTATTGATTGATTGATATCCCCTGATTTCCCCTATATTATTGCAATAGTATAGTCCTTCAAGAACAATCGTAAGTCCATCATTCTGCTGTTGAAGTGTAACCTGATGCTGTAGGCACAGAGAACAGTATGAAGTCCAGCATTCTAGTGTGAAGATATATTTAGCAGTTTCATTGGGAATCCACCTTTGATTTAGAAGTAGAGATTCATACTACTTTGTATCTTCACAACTCGATGTGATAGTCTCTATTATACTGTTCTCTAGGTGAACATATGCACATGCATGTTTACTCACATATCTATTGATCTTGATATTTTGCATGAAGGATGCTTTATCTCAGAGAGAATGAGACTTTGTGTAGTTTTTTAGAGACCCTGAAGTTTTAATGAGCTTCAGTTGAAAATTTTTTAAATAGAGGGGCCGGTGCTGTGGCTCAAGTAGCCAATCATCTGGTTGCAGCGCTGGTGTCCCGTATGGAAGTCAGTTTGCATCCAGGAGGCTCCACTTCTCATCCAGCTCCATGCTTAACCCTGGGAAAACAGCAGATGACAGCTCATGTCTTTGGGCCCCTGAACCTGCTATAGCAGCTCCAGAAGAGGTTCCCAGCTCCTAGTGTCAAATTAGCTCAGCTCTATCTGTTGAGGCCATTTGGGGAGTAAACCAATGGATGGGAAATCTCTCTCTCTCTCTCTCTCTCTCTCTCTCTCTCTCTCTCTGTCTCTCCCTGAATCTGCCTCTCCAATAAAATTCAATATATCTTTTAAATAAATTCAAAATAGAAAAAGTAGCAAGCGGACATTCAGCCTAGTCTGCACAATATTCACATTCCATATCTGAGCCCCTGAATTCAAATACCAGCCCCAGCTCCCTGTTCCAACCTCCTGCCAGTGGAGACCCTGCGGACAGCAGGCTGGAGTTCAGGTAGTTGAGTTTAGCACACACATGATAGACCTGCCGGCCACATCCCAGAAAGGGTTTCCTTCCTGCACCTTATGCCACCACAAAGGAGAGGAATTTGCCAAACTGAGTCTCTCCTGACCACATGAGGGGAGAGAAAAGAATAATAACCAATCTGAGGCCATGTTGAGTTAAGGAGATATTGGGATACCACTATTAGAACAAGAAACTCTAGGGTTATGGGTTTGGTGGGTGGTGACAGAGCAGTGAAAGTGAGCTACATTTCCAGAGGCCTGCCTTATGCTATGTCTATAACTCCTTTTCACCATCATGGGTTCAAACTGCAGATCACAGACCCAGCCAGTGGCCCAAGAACAACATGCTTTAGGGACAACGGCTGGGATTTCAAGTCCAAGCAGCATCACTATTTCCCTTCTTTGATTTGTGGACATTTGTGTAGCCCTTAGTGCAAGGTAGGCATTTCTGAATGCTAGACTAAAAATGCAGGGCCCAGTGCGTTGATCTAGTGGCTAAAATCTTGGCCTTATACACCAATGATCCCATATGGGTGCTAGTCCATGTCCCGGTTGCTCCACTTCCCATCCAGCTCCCTGCTTGTGACCTGGGAGAGTGGTTGAAGACAGCCCAAGGCTTTGGGACCCTGCACCCGAGTGGGAGACCCCAAGGGGGCTCCTGGTTCCTGGCTCCTGGCTTCAGATCGACTCAGTTGCAGCCCTTGCGGTCACTTGGGGAGTGGATCATCAGATGGAGGATCTTCCTCTCTGTCTCTCCTCCTCTCTGTGTATCTACCTTTCCAATAAAAATAAATAAATCTTTTTTTAAAAAATACACATTGCCTTCCACACTTGGTTTGCTGGAATTAATGACCCATACAATTTTGAAAGGCTCATGGTAAAGTTTGCCCTGGGCTCAAGAAAATCTCAGAGTTCAATGAGCACAAAAACCAGTAAGAAGCAAGTTACTCTCTTCGCCGTCATCCCCTCATGACCTCTCATAACTGGGAAGAAAATCAACATTTATTTCTACTTTTTGTATTTTCCAAACTGGAGGATGTTTTTCTCCCTGAGTCCTATATTTGCTGAAAATTTCTACATAATACTAAAACAGTACTAAATTTCTCAATAGTTAACCATGCATATGAATGTGATTATGGTAGGGTCAATAGTGCATATCTTAACATTTAAGTATGTGAGGGGGAAAAATTATCTATTCATTGGGAATTTGAAAAGCTATCTTAATTTTGCCTGCATTCCTGTAGGCAATCTGCTGCATTCTAAAACCAAAAACAACATGAACTACCAAATGAGGACTTCAGAAAAATCAATCAACCTGACAAAGGTAAGAAATTGCATTTTTTTTTCCTGGTGGCTATGTATCCAAGAAAATCTAACCTTTCACAATGGCAATACTTGTGTGTGTGCCTAAAGTGGACAGATTTTTCCTTAACTTTTCTCCTTTCTATCTTTCTTTTCTTTTTATCCTGATGTTTATGTTACTGCGAGTGGTTAAGATAATCTGCATTTCTGATATATTCCTAACTCTTCTTTTGTAGTTTTTTTAAGTGTTACACCAATACTAAGAAATTACGTATTCGTGAGGGTAAGAAATATATATATATCTTGTGCAAGACCAATTGAAATTCCAATGAAATTAATAAAATAGGTATAATAAAATAAGAAATACGTAAGAAAAATGCTTTTGTGCTATATGTACTCAGATGCATATACTAGGGTTATTTGACCAAGTAATAAGATGCCAGTTAGGATGCCCATATCCCATAGCCAGATTCCCAAGTTCTATGCCCACTTCCAACCCCTGACTCCAGCTTCCTGAATGGTGGCAGTGATGACCATGTAGTTGTGTCCCTGCCACCCGCGTGGAAAACCTAACTGGGATTCCTGGCTCCCAGCTGCAGCCCTTGACCAGCAGACAAGCACTGAGCCATGAACTAATAGGTGGATGGCAACCCTCTCTTTCTCTCTGTCCTTTTCTCTGTCCATTAGTAAATGCATGTACTAAGATAAGCTGGAGAAAGACATCATGTGCTCCTCGGGGAGCCTGAATACAGCAGATATTGATGTCCCTGTCTTCCTTGATCTTCCTAGGGCGAAGCCCGAGAGAGCCCACGTCACGGCAGAGAAACAACCAACATGAAAACACAAACAGTTGCCTCATATTTCAGAGTAAGCTGGGAAATTACATCATGCCAAGAAAGGCTTTATCTTAAATGAATGACAGACCAAAACCTGGTAGCCAATGTCAAGGTGGAGGTTACCAGCCAAAGAGAACATTTGCTGTGTCAAGTCCACTGTGTGTTAGATTCAGGATATATTGGAGCAAACCATCAGGAAGCCATAGATGTGTCTACTTGATACTTGACTGGTAAAAATATTGAGTCCCTCTTCAGGTTTCTTGGAGATCTAGACTTCAATTAGAATTTACCCCCAGATCAGATGTGCTTCCACTAGAGATAACCAAGGAGGATTCCTAACACAATGTTCTGGTAACTACCAATTCTACTTCCCGCTCCTGAAGGAGATGGATGAGGTTGAGCCAAATCTTCCTGCAGGAACATCAGCTGAAAATCCAGTGCAGGATTGGGATAAAGGGAAGAGTGACCTGGGAGATGGTGCCATGGGGCAGTGTGCTTGGCACCGGACCAAGGCAACTTTCTCCATCCTTGGGCCATATGGAAGACAGAAAACTAAAAAGCAGCACTTAAATTTTTGGGGGGTGATGTAAAGTGATCAATTTCTTACTAATCTCTCCTAACAAAATCGTATTAACCAGCCAACGAAAATGAAGGGAAATGCCACCAAAAACCTGGAGATTGTTAATGATGTAGTTTGACATAGCAGAGATGAAGGAAATTGGATTACATTTACTCTAAGTCTGCAATGAATATATCCAAGTCTCTAATCAAATCATGAGAGATTTTGTTTTTCAAATTCATGAGCATTTGAATTAAAAAATCGTCAAGTCCTCAGCTCAGGCAGGGTTTACTCAATCATCCTGGAGTAGGGCCTGGTACATTTCTATGCCTAATGTCTCAGGCTGCTGTTACCCCAACTTCGCATCAGGTGCAGGGTATGTCTGAATCACTGAGTATTAACAGCCATATCATTTCCTGCTTTAAAAGTGAGTTATCCAGGAGCATTGTCCTGCAACTCTGATCTGTGCCAAACACTCTATGTGTGTTTAAACCAGATTGGTTCAAGAAATTGTCTCAATCTTCAAGCTGAAATAAAAAGCTAGTGAAGATAATTCCACACGCACTGTTATGTGTTTTTAAAGTTGTTTTTCATCTATAGACAAGAATGAACATAGTATAACATTATGACCTTTGGGCTTGGAAATGTATCACCGAAACTGCTAAGCCCCTGCTTGTAAAACCAGCAGACACGACTCACACTTGGGTCACCAGTGCATGGTGACTCACCAATTGATGATAAGTGTAATAAGATATGGCTTCCACAGACAGGTCCAGCTGTTTGAAAAGAAAATATCTGAGTCCCGGTGGCCAAAAGCGAATCATGCAAACACAGTGCCTTGTTGATTGCCCTGGGTCAGGATTTGCTGTGATTGGCATGATGCCTGGGGCATTGATACTCCCAGCCCAGAAAAAGATCTGGTCAACCATGACCCTCTATGTCCCTGTCAACAGTGGTCCTCGTCCATGGGAGGCTAGTTCTGGGATCATCCTAATATGTTAGACTTAGTTGTCCAGCAGTGGGCTACTGTTTTCATCAGGTACAGGTGGCAAGAATTTTCACATCCATGTGATTTTTTTTAAAGTTCTCCTAAAATAAATAAGAAAAGTATCACACTACCCATGCAATGAGGTAGGCATTTGCCCTAACAGCCAAGCCCTACATTGGAATAGCTGGCTTCACCTCCCAGTTGCACTCCTGGTTCCAGCTTCCTACTAATACATACTCCTGGAAGGCAGGAGATGATGACTCAGATAAATTGGCTGCTACCGCTCACATGGGAAAATGAGGTTGAGTTCTCAGCTCCTGGTTTTAGCCTGGCCCAACATTAGCCATTGTGGATATTTGGCAAGGGAGCCACTGGATAGGATCTTGCTCTCTCTCTCCCAAACACACACACACAACACAATCTCACTGCTTTTTAAAATAAAAAAGTGTGATTATTAAATGTTAGACAAATTTTTAAGTGTTTAAGGATATAGAAATGTTTACTAATGCTCAATGAATTACCACACTGTTTCCCGTAAATATGTACAATCAAAATATTAATTTTAAAGAAATGATCAAATTAGAGCAGACAAGAATATTTACATGGATATATTGTTTTGTTTTGTTAATATTTGTGCCCTATATAGTAAACTATTTTTACTTCTCTATAATTTTCTTTTTGAAAATATAGGATAATGTCTGTTTGCTTGAGAGCAGAGAGAGAGAGAAAAACTGGTATCGGTTTTATTGGTGGGAGGGACTCAAATACTTGAGGCTCAATGACTGCCTCCCCTGCTGTACATTAGCAGGAAGCCAAGATCCAGGGAGTCAAAATCCAGGATCCGAAGTCAAACCCAGACACTGATGTGGGGCACAGTCCCCTCAAATACCAGGTCCACTGCCCATCTCACCCAGTCCTTATTTTAGTGGGGCACAGTCACCTCAAATACCAGGTCCACTGCCCATCTCACCCAGTCCTTATTTTAGTGGGGCACAGTCTCCTCATCTACCAGGTCCACTGCCCATCTCACCCAGTCCTTATTTTAAGCTAGATGATTCTAGTGGAAATTAAAGTATTTACTTCTACACACTCCATAGAGAATTGAACAAGTACATTCATGTAGAAGTTGGATTCAATTTTATGCCTAGATATTGTAGCTTAACAAGTTTGCTTGAGAAGATGTAATTACTTACAAACAATATGGAAGATATTTTGTCTATTAATTAAAACCAATAAGAGTATACAAACTCCTATTAGCTAAGTTCCTAGTTGTAACCTCTACATTTTATAAGAAAACCTGTAACTTTTATAATATACTATAAATCCAGTTTTCCGCCATTTCCTGTGATTATTATCCCAGTTGTATTCTTATAGGAAAAAGCTTGTGCATTTTTGTATGCTACACACGGAAGTTTACCTTTGTTACATGTTACAGTATTCCCTAATGGATTTGTTATCTAAAATGGTGGTGGGCCAACCTCATTTTGTCCGTTGCATCAAACCCAACAATGAGCGGCAGGCAAGAAAATATGACAAAGAAAAAGTGCTACTGCAGCTTCGCTATACAGGAATTCTAGAAACAGCAAGAATTCGAAGACAAGGATACTCACATCGCATACTTTTCGCTAACTTTATCAAGCGGTATGTGGATTTCTTTCACAGTTTCTGCTGTATGCTTTGCATACAGATTCTTTAGAAGAATGAGAAAAGTAGAAAAGTACCTAGACATCTGGGAGGGAGGCATTGTTGAGGCTTAGAAAGCCACTGCCAGCTTCCCTAAGTGGTGACTCAAGACACACACCCTGAGACCTCTAATCAACAGGTCTGAGCCTGGGGAAGCTGGGGCATCTGGACTCTCCTTCTAGTTTGACCACTCATGAATGACCCAATCATTCTCAGCTGTGAGAGCTCCTCCACCGTCACCGGGCAAGGTGTGAAGGCAGTACTGAGCTGTCATGCTTGGAGGAGGGGTGCTTCTCTGTACCACAACCACCTCTTCCTCCTCTACTCAACCTGCCATGAGTTCCCCCCATGGGATTGTCACAGTGATCCAGTGATCAAATGAGAGATTGCCAGAATGAATATTTAACACAGCAGTTAGGACCCTGCTTGGAATACCTTACAGGAAGCGTAGTTCTAATCCTGTTCCAAAAATAACCACAGTTTTATAACATGGGTTATAAGGAGAATTAAACCTCTTATCCAGGTGGTACTGTTGAAAGTCTTAAATGTCGGAAAGTGAGAGTACCTTCTTAAATTTTTCCAAAGTCCTGTGAATGGCAACCTGAAAAAGCTACACCATGCCTCTATCACTTATTTGTAAGCTGCTCCCCTAATTTGCGGACTTTTAGGAAAGGAGGCTATTTGCAGAGGTCTTGTGTGGATGTAAATAGGGCTCCTCCTTTGGTTCTGCCTTGACTTTGACCTACCCTGTCGTTCCAGGGTAAAACTTCTCAAGCCCCCTTTCTGTTGAAGATTAACTCTTCTGTTTTATGACAAAGAAACAATCTAAAGGGGAGACATCCAACAGGAGCTTCACACATACCCCTGTACTAAGAAGCCATCATCATTAGCTCTGTTTTCCCACTCAACACTGACGTGACCTATTAGAGTGGTTTCCAAAAGCTTACGGAAGATGGATCTTAAAAAAGTAACTTCACTAGGTTGCAAAATTTTCTTTTATTCCATGCATGTTTTTATTATAATATACATTTTCCCAGTTTTGTTTTTTGATAAGACGTATCTATTTATTTGAAAGACAGAATGACAAAGGAAGGAGAGATAGAAAGAGGGAGATACAGAAAGAGAGAAGGAGAGAGAGAAGGAAAGACTATTCTTCTATCTACTAATTCACTCCCCCAAACAACCAAGGGTAGGCCAGGCTAAAGCCAGACACCAACAAGTACTTCCAGATCTCCTACACAAGTGACAGGGACCCAAGTACTCAGGCCATCTCTTGATGCCTTCCCAGACACATTAGCGAAGAGCTGGATGGGAAGCAGAGCAATGTGAATCATTGACACTCCATATAAGCTTAACACTGCTCCCTCCACTGACTTTATAGAGACTCCTTGTATGCATGGATTTAAAAAAAAAAACCTCCCATGGCTTTTTAACTCCTTTTATCTTTGAATTCCTCTTTCTCTGAACTTGTACATGTCCCTGGTAGGATCAGAACTCTTGAAGACAGTAGTAGAGTAAAACAAGAGACCCTCATGCCCAGGAGCCAGCAAGTGTGAACCCCATCCCATTACTACATGGACAACCTTGTTCAGTTATTTTCTGTATATTCCAGAGGCCCTTGGTCTCACGTACAAATAGCAATGCTAACAGTAGTATCCACTCAGTTTGTGCTTTGGAGCAATTAGATGAGCTCATATACAAAGGTGCTTCAAATTGATTTTTCTTCCTGTCATTCACTTCTCTTTCCAGGATTGTTTGTGATCCTGCCTGTGGACCTCCTTTTTCTGTTCTTTCCTTCATTCATCTCTAACAGGAAAAGTTGGAGGGGGAAAACTCCAGGGAGAGACTTGGAACAAGTCAAGAGAAAACTGCAATGGGGAGACCTTAGTTTAATGGTGCAAAGCCTGGGTGGAATCAAACTCCTTTACCCAAAGTAAACACCAGTATCTAATGTTTTTGTGGCAGTGGGAGAGGAATGAAAGCTTCCCCCCTGCTTCCTCCACTACAAACCTTCCATTTTTAATGCATAGGGGAAGGTGGCTTTGTCTTTAAAATAAACAAAACCACAAAAATAAACTCAACTCATGTCTTGCTTTCCAATGTCAGAGTTTTGTGGAGGATCATTACAAAAACAAAAAGCCCAGCACAGGGATTTTTGCAAATGGGCTTATCTGGAACTGGTCCCAGGCAGAGCTGTTCTGAACGCCTGCCTGAAGCATCCCACTGCATTGGGTCTGGGATTCTCTTCCCACAAAGCTTTGTGGGGCTCACCAGGCCCCAGGCGGATGCCAGACCTTGACATGCATCTAACCAGCCCTTCTTCCACTTCAAGGTACTACGTCCTCTGCTACAAGTCCAGCGAAGAACCCCCTGTGAGTCCTGACACCTGTGCCGCCATTCTGGAAAAAGCTGGTCTCGATCATTGGGCCCTGGGGAAAACCAAAGTAATGTCTTCTCGTAACTTGCAGGAACCATTAAAGGTTGCATTTCCTGAGAATGAGAGCATTTTATCCTGATTGACAGTAATGTGGCTTTTCATGTCGCAGAAACTCCTGCTTACAAAAGGAAGTGTAGAAATTCATACGTATTGCTTCATCAGCCTTGAACCCAATTGCTCTTCATGAAAGTTTAAAAAATGACAGAGCCATTTCTTTCCAGGGTTTATCCAAAAACAAGATAAAATTGATAATGAACATACTTTATATTAACCCTTTCTGCCAACAGAATGATACGCTTTCTCTATTTTATCACCACTCAACACAGTTTAAAAACTATACAGTATCATCACGATCTAAAAGAAGATTCCTGTTTTATTTTGTTTTGTTCTGTTTTCAAATCTGCCTCTGTGATGAACTCAAAATATACATGGGGCAAAATAGTTGCCATCACTCTTAGGCATGCTGAGTGTGAGTATATTGACATATTGATGTTAGCACTCAGAATCTCTAGATCTCAGTTTATGTAATGATACCCTAGAGAAAAAAGTGAAAAGGCATAACCCACCTTGAATATGCGAGTAAGACAAAAAAGATACACTGGGCTTCTCAAACCTCCTACTAGCATCATAGTGTGCAGAAATGAAATAAACAAAATATCAGGGCCCAGCATGTGTCTCTTAAGAAACACAAAAAAAAGGAGGCAGACTCCAGCAAAGAGGTGCTCATGCATCGATTACTGAAGAGTGACTGCCATGAACCACACCACAGAAGTGAAACCAAAGAAATGTTCACGTTTGCCTATAAAGACAGAGCACAAGTCTTGTGGTAGGAAGTGTAGGCAAGAACTTTCATAATGTCCAGCTACAAAGTTAGTCATGTCACATTTGGGACCAAGGGTCCTACTTATTCAGGAGTCTGTACTTAGTTTAATATTTCATGCTGGGAGATTCTGGACATTAAAAAGAGGTGCATGTGATTCACACCACTCTTCCTCTCTCTTTCTTAAAGGTATATATATCATATAGATGATATATATTTTATGTATCATGTATATATATATTTGAAAAAAGATTTACAGAGAGAAAGAGAGACAATGAAAGAAAGATCTTCCGTCTGCTGAGTTACTCTGCAAGTAGCTGCAATGGCTTGAGTTCAGACAATCTGAAGCTCGGAGTCAGGAACTTCCTCTGGGTCTCCTATGCGAGCGCGGGGTCCCAAGGCTCCGGGCCATCCTCCACTGCTTTCCCAGGCCAGAAATTGAGCAGCCAGGCACAAACCAGTGCTCACATGGCTATCAGCACTTGCAGGCAGAGAATTAGGCAGCTGAGCCATTGTGCCACCTATCACACCATTCCCTTGTAGAAATTTATGAAGACAAAATTTTGTTCAAAGGAATTTCAGGACCAGTGATTTGAATCACATGCCAAACTTCAAATGGAGTTTTAACTTGTAAAAAAGCCTTTTGCATTCCCATTCTGCATGGTATTTAAGTAGCATTTTAAAGTTATTTGTCTTTTTCCACTTCACCTTTTCCAATTCATTAACATGGATAAAGAGTATTTAATGTAAGAGCATTTCTAATGCATGCCAAAAATAAAAAAATAAAAAGATGACCTTTTTAAACAAGATTGAATTTTAAATGAATTGTCAACAGCAGACTGGACTAAATATATTAACAGCTAGAGTTCTGTAGAAATTAAAATTGAATTTAATCAGAATCTTTAATGCTGAACTGTTTGCCTGTGCCAAGCTTGAAGTTCCAGAGCGCTGGGAGAATTCCATAGGCAAGGTTACTTACTAGGTCCCCTGAATCAGACAGAACATTATTTACATTTCAGTAACTTTCTTGATGGATCCCTTAATCTGTTGCAGTTGACTCTTGTTAACAAATGTAGCCATTCAAAGGAAAACAGCAAGACTATGTCCTTGGGTGGGGGGACAGGAATCGGAGTTGGAACTTTGAGATCAGAACACAGAACAGAAATGCCTTCAGTTCAGGTGGATTTGAGCATGATCGAGCCACAAAAGTTCCATGACAGCTTCTGGTCTACTGAGAAAGCTGTGCACTCAGTCTGCCTGGAGCCTCCTTGTGCCTCATTCCCATCCACTGCGGGTCCCTGTGGATGTGTACTTGTGCCTTGCTCCTCTTCCTCTCACCAGCAGACACATCCATCTCATAAACTTCTATACATAGTTAGTGAATGAGCAAACAGGGCCACAACTGTCCTGGGTCTTATAACACATCTGTAATACTTTCAAACTTGTGGTAGACTATTGCCTTTAAATATAGTACAAAAATTAGTTCAGAATATGTACGCTAAAAATAACTAATCTAGCTCAAACACTGCAATCATGTTGGTCCACCAGCATCCTGAAATTGCTTGTTATGACTAAGCAGCTTGATGAATTGCATTCTGTCGTTCCCAGAGACATCCTAGCCAAAACAACGGAAGGCAGGGCTTTCCAGAAACCTCCAACAATGTACGATATACCAACCCTTCCCCAAAGTACGTGACTCCTTTCCATGTGAGTTCCATGGTTTGATCTGTGTTTTCTTCCACTTCCTTTAAGGTCTTTCTTAAATACTATCATGTGGAACAGTTAAACCTAATGCGAAAGGAAGCCATCGACAAGCTGATTTTGATTCAAGCCTGTGTCAGAGCATTCTTGGGTTCAAGAAGATACAAAAAATTACAACAGAAAAGGAAAGAAAGTGCCATCGTCCTGCAGTCAGGTAATCACCCATAGCCTCAAGCTGTAACGTCTAGACGTATTTAAATCTAGTTAAATCTAGTCCTGCAGGCGTTAAATCTAGTCCTGCAGGAGTTCTAATATGCAGACCCTGGTGCCACTGGAACTGTGTGTTTGCTTCCAACTCTGTGGCCCCAATATTTTCTATCAGTGATTGACATTTTTAATATTCGATTATTAGATAAAATCGCTTTGAACTTTGGAATAACAACTCATCTTCAATATCATCTTCTTAAAATTATCTGTCAAGGAGGAATGAAGCATAACTGGCCTATCATGCAAGATATGGCGAATCACAAGATTCATAGGATTAAAATTCACTGGGCAATAAAATGTTTGCTACTTTATTCCAAAGGTTATAATTCTTGACAGCTCAATTAAATCTATTTTGTTAAAGGGCATCTGTTTCTATTAACTGTGGAGAAATAATATTCCAATTTATAATAATATTTATAAAGGTGAGATCAGGCTGTATACAGTCTTTCCTTCATCCCACTAAGCAGAAGTATTCTCTGTGTTTTTCTGAGCAAATTCTCAGCTTGGCTACAGGATGCTGTCCTGACATAGAGAATATCAAGAAATACATCTGGGGTTTGTGTCATCTTGTTGAAATTAAAAAGGGAAAAATATTAATTAATGTTCTGAAATATATCTGGTCTCAAGGATCACTATTCCAGATCTAGAAAAAGCTACTTCAAAACATTTGTGAAAAATGGAATGTTGAAGGCAAAAAAAATAAACAAATAAAAGTAGAGATCCATGCATTGTCTTCATAATAAGCATTTTCTACCAACCTTTTAAAGATCCCTGGCATACATTGGTTTCTTTTTTTTTTTTTTTTTTAAGATTTATTTTTATTATTTTTTATTGGAAAGGTGGATATACAGAGAGGAGATACAGAGAGGAAGATCTTCCATCCGATGATTCACTCCCCAAGTGAGCCGCAACGGGTCGATACTATGCCGATCCGAAGCCAGGAGCCTCTTCCGGGTCTCCCACGCGGGTGCAGGTTCCCAAAGCTTTGGGCTGTCCTCTGCTGCTTTCCCAGGCCACAGGCAGGGAGCTGGAAGGGAAGCGGGGCTGCCGGGATTAGAACCGGCGCCCATATGGGATCCCGGGCGTGCAAGGCGAGGACTTAACCACTTGCGCCACCGCGCCGGGCCCCATACATTGGTTTCTAAAGTTTGGGGCACCAGAATACACTGGTCTTAAAATATGGTTGCATTCTATGAAGCTTTTGAGATGCCCTCATATATCATAAAGGCTTTCTCCCAGGAAGAACGCAATGTGGCAAAAAGGGATAGTAAATGTTAGCCAAGTTTAAGTAAGTGAAGCACCCTTGGCCATCAGCTGTGCTCCTCTCAAGCCTTTCAATAATCCCTGATAGGAAAGAGGTGTTAGTTACTTTGCAGCAGTAGCATTGCCTTCTGCATGAATCCCATCTTTGTAAGCCTCTACTACTTAGTACCTTTAACCTTGTTTTCCCCTTTGAGATTGATGGCAAAGCCACTTCTTTCTAGCCACTCAAAGAGTATGCTGGGCTTTGTATGTTGCAGTGGCAAGAGGACATATGGTCAGAAAACAGAAAAGAGAGCTCAATGGGGTGAAATCCATAGCAGGAACCACTACCCAGATTCATGACCAGGAATTTGACTACAGGAAAGACTTCCAAAATAAAAGGTATGATGATGTACCTTCCTGTACCATCCTGTCACCAATTTTCTGAATCTCTCAGGTCATGGAGAAATGCCCCATCTCTTTCCCATCTCTTACTAGATGCCTGACATCGGGCTATCAGATGTCCATGATCATATGGACCCCTCTTGGGTTCCTCTTGTTTTCTCTTTTCACAGACTCATTTTAGTTATTTGAAAGATAGAATTACAGAGATAAAGACAGCACTGTTCCAGCCACTGGTTCACTCCTCAAAAGGCTGAAATGACCAGAGTTGAATCAACCCAAAGCCAACAGTCAGGAACTCCATCCAGGTCTCCCCTGTGGGTGGCAGGAACCCAAGCACTTGAACAATTTTCCACTGCTCTCCCAGATGCACTAGCAGGGAGCCGGCACTGGAACTGGTGCTCATACAGGATGCCAGTGTCAGGAATAGCAGCTTAACCCACCAACACTAAGTCCCCTTCCTGACTGGGAGCTTGGGTGAATTCTTATTCTTATGTCCACATTTCCCTTCTCAAAGGTTCCTTTTTTGTCTGCTCCTACACTTCCGTTCACAGCTCTGCTCCTGACTCTTGAGGGCTCCTCATGAACATCTCCTCCACTCTTCACATTTGAATCCTTTCCCACAGCCAAATCGTGACTCTGGGTGCCTCTCACTCACTGCCACAGCAATCACAGTCTGCATGCCATTGACCCGGAAATCACCATCTCCAGCTTTCCTTGCTTCCTCTGAGCAATCATCTCCTTGTTTCCAAGTGTGTATTAACAGTTCCACTTGAACCTATGCTTCACAATAGGGATCATCCTTACAATCTTATTACTCACAGCACCATGGGCAAAAGTATATAGGATCAATAAGTAGATGATTCCAGTGAGATTGTCTAGCTCTGATATAAAAGCAAGCAAACACCATTGCTGGCCTTAGTAGGTAGGGATTAGGGAAAAGAACTATGTTCTTTTATATTCAGAATCCTACATCCTACACACACAAACAGTTATCAAAACATTCATAAAGGGCCTATTACCTAGGCATAGTAGGCTAGGCTTCTGCCTATATGGACTCCAGATCGAGTCCCAGCTGTTCTACTTCTGATCCAGCTCCCTCTTTATGGCCTGGGAAAGCAACACAGAATGACTCAAGTCCTTGGGACCCTGCACCCATGTAGGAGACCTGGAAGAAGCTCCAGGTTTCTGATTTTGGATGGGCTGATATCTGGCCATTGTGACCATTTGGAGAATGAACCAGCAGATAGAAGCACTCTCTCTCTCTCTCTCTCTCTCTCCATATATATGTGTGTATATATATCTCTGTGTGTGTGTGTATGAAACAGAGAGGGAGACTTTCTCTCTGTAATTCTTCAAAGAAAAAAAGGAATAAAATAAATTATTTTTTAATCTCATGGAAAGAGCCTATTGTGGAAGCCTATGCGTAGACTTCAATTTTCTTTTTTTTTTAAAGATTTATTTTTATTATTTTTTTATTGGAAAGGTGGATATACAGAGAGGAGAGACAGAGAGGAAGATCTTCCGTCCAATGATTCACTCCCCAAGTGAGCGCAACGGCCGATGCTAAGCCAGGAGACTCCTCCGGGTCTCCCACGCGGGTGCAGGGTCCCAAAGCTTTGGGCTGTCCTCGACTGCTTTCCCGGGCCACAGGCAGGGAGCTGGAAGGGGAGCGGGGCTGCCGGGATAGAACCGGCGCCTATATGGGTTCCCGGGCGTGCAAGGCCAGGACCTTAATCACTGCGCCACTGCACCGGGCCCTTCTTTTCTTTTTTTAAGATTTATTTATTTTTATTGGAAAGTCAGATATACAGAAAGGAGGAGAGACAGAGAGGAAGATCATCCATCCACTGATTCGCTCCCCAGATGTCTGCAATGGCCAGGGCTGTGCCGATTCCAAAGCCAGGATCCAGGAACTTCTTCTGGGTCTCCCACACGGGTGCAGGATTCCAAGGCTTTGGGCCGTCCTCGACTGCTTTCCCGGGCCACAAGCAGGGAACTGGATGGGCGAGTTTAAGGCAAGAACTTTAGCCACTAGGCTACCATGCCAGGCTGCAAACCTCTCTTTTTACATTCCCTTTTTCACAAAGTGTTTGTGTAAATGATGAAAACTGAGTTGACCAGAGATGGGTAAGATGAGGCAGAGGTCATTCAAACCCCAGGCAAAGTCCCCTGGTCTTTGAGCATCAGAGATTACCTCCACTGTGCCACAGTGACATCCCTAGGTGTTACTTCTTGACTACATCTGAACTGTGTTGCTGTAGTGAGAGTTCTACCCTTGGCTGGAAAAAAAAAATTGAAAGTATAATGAATGTCTTATCTTTAAGTTAAAGCGAAATCATTTGGGAAGGATATTGGCAAAGCAATACTCATTGCATGATCATCAACTGTGGCAAGGGTGGCCCTTTCTCCTTTAATTTTACAAGATATTTCGTATGATCAAGACACTCGGTGCTTATTAAAGTCCAGTGCATCATCCCAGTAAACACATCCTTGCTTGCTGATCTCAATGCTAACCTTGTTTTCCCTAACATCTAATCACATTAGAATCTTGGTTTTAAAAGGGAAAAAAATAAATGGAAATGATTCAATTCCTATAATTTTTTTCTAAATTTGGCTTACATTTCCTTTTTTAATATTTATTTATCTATTTTTACTTATTTGAAAGACAGAGTAATAGAGACAGAGAGAGTGAATAAAAGGAGAAGAGGGAGGAAAAAGAGAGAAAGTCTTGCATTTGCTGGTTTATACCTTCATATGCCGTGGTTGGGCTAAGTCAAATCCAGGATCCTGGAATTCCATCCAGGTCTCCCTTGTGGATGGCAGGGACTCGAGCACTTGAATCTGTTGCCTCCCCAGATGTGCATTAATAGAAAGCTGGGTCAGAAGCGAAGGAAGTGGGACTTGAACCAGCACTCATACAGGATGCCGGCATCCTTTAAGCCACTGTACCACACCATTCATGCCAAGTTTCCCAAATGTTGCCACCTCATTAAATAAACATACAGTTCTTCACATGCTGGGACATTTGCCATGCTGAGTGAAAAACCAAGGTTCTTGTTACAAGTCCTCTTTGCTTTGGTTAGAGAAAATAAGGGAAATCCTTTGATTTTGTGACTTAGTAAGATTTTAGCTGGGAATTTCCGCTTTCCTTTGCTTCTTTTGTTCTTCCAGCGTGAGTTTGCACAAAGTTGTTGCCGGGAGGAGCCCTAAACTGTACTGCTCTATCACATATCCAGATGTGTTTTTCACAGGGACTTCTTCGGGATGAAACAAATGGGGGACACAAACCTTCCTGAAAATCCCGCCAGCCCAGTGCCACACAAGAGAGGGACCACGTCTCTGGCCACAGTGTCCACACTCAAAGCCCAGGAGGGGGCCGCCAACACTGCAGAGCAAAACAGCAGAGGATCTGGGATGCAGAAGAAAATGCACAGTGTGTATGGGGAGGACAAGCCTAAGCTAGGGCCATGCCACTCTGAAAGCCTCAGCTCCAAACACAAGAGCATCAAAGACCAGAAAGAGACCTGTCGGTTCCCAGAGAATGGGGATGGGGCTGACCCCAAAGAAGCTCAGGTGGAAAGCTACCCTAGGCTTGGGCCCGCAGGCTGTAACACTTATTCGGAGCCTACTACTTGCCAGAGGTCCTTTTATCAAAATACAAAGAGTGAGGAGAGAGAGAAGAAGACGTGCAACCAGGAGAGACACTGTCTGAATCATGAAAATGCCCAGGAGACGCAGGCTGCACCAGACTGGCATGCCGAGGAAGAAGACCGAGCGGCCATGTTCATTCAGAGCAAGTACCGTGGCTACAAGAGAAAGCAGCAGGTGCAGAGGGACATGGCAGCGCCCACTTCAGGGAGCCCGGAAGCTGAAGGAGCAAGCAGCACTCGAAGTCTCTGTTCCCCTTCCATGAGACCTGAGCCGTTCTGTAATACCAAGAGCAAAAAGGACAACGAAGCAGAAGCAACTTCAAAGGCAACGGCCTGGAATGTGGTCCTCTTCTCAAAACAGGTGTGCTCACAGAGCAATTCCCCGTTCCTCTCTCTCTCTCTCTCTCTCTCTGCCTTTCTCTCTCTTACTCTCTTTTTCTCTCTCTCTCTCCTGTTTTGTCCATGTCTGACCATAAGAAAGTCCTTGTAAAGTGAAAGCTCTTCTACAAGAGGACTTCAAAAAGTTGATGAAAAGTGGAACTCAAATTGATTTGAGTGCAAAAACTGTAAATCCACAGTTTTGGCCTCATCTGCATTATTCATGAAGTTTTTTTTTTTTAAGACTTTTTAATTCATAGGATTCAAGGATTTCAAAACATGCTTGCATCCAAATCAGCTTACCCTGGGGGCAAGTGTTTGGCCTCCTGTGACCCACATCAGGGTACCTCAGGGTTAAGCTCAGCTCGGCTCCTGCCTCTTGCAATGTGGACCTTAGGAGGCTACAGACATGACTCAAGTACTTAGATCCCTGTCAACCATGTGAGAGAGCTGGAGTCTCTGGCTCTGCAACCAACAGATAGGATCTCTCTCTCTCTTCACACTCCAAATAAATACCTATATAATTATTTAAAATGTAATCTTTAAATCCCATTTCCCATGAACTTTTGCATGTACTCTTGAACTACCTCCTGGATAAAGTGAATATTTTAACCAGATGGCCTCTAAGACACGTGCATTAAGGACAGTCAGTGGTGTAGGAAATAACAGAAGAAATATCACAATGGGTCAGGTACACAGGAGGGTCACTTTGCCCCCTGATGCCCTGAACTTTGCCCTGTGTCTCTATGGCTTGCCCAGCCCGTGAGAAGGCCACGTAACTGTTCATGGATCCCACCTTAGTGCTAGAGCCATGCCCTGGCCATCTCCAACTTCCAGCTGCCCTAGAGGTCATTTACCTAGCCCCCATTCTGCTATTGACTAACTGAACTAGCCCTGTCCTATTGTGTTTTTTGTGCTCCTGGAAATAATGATGTTAAAATACAGGCAGCCTGTCCTTGCCTTGGTTCATACATTTTTTTTTTTTCTCACTCCACTGACCAAATCAAGGGTTAGGACCTAGACCTGCTCCTCTCCTGGACACACAGGAGATGGAGAGGTACCCAGTCCAGACTCCTGAGCCCCGTGTCACATGAGGGTCAAGGTTCAGGCAGAAATGCTGTCCCCCCATGTGGTATCTCACAGGATAGTGTATTCACTGAGCTGGGATACAGATGGGGCAGACATGGAGGGGCCCGATGGAAAGAGAGGACTCAGGAGAGAGCAGCCCTAAAGTCAAAGCTGAGAAAACTGAACCCAGGAAAGAAGGCAGATATAACTGTGTGGCAGAGTGGATCTTGTCAGAGTGGTCAGGGTGGAAGACAGAGGCCAGTAAGTCCAGGAAGACTGGCAGCACTTGTGCAGCACCTTGTAACATTCAGACTGGCCACTGTGGTATATAGGAGTTCAGCCCCTGCCTTCCTTACTGAGGGCCTGGTGCATGTCCCAGCTCCTCTGCATTTCTGATCCCAAACCCCCTCCTTCCTAAGCAGCAAAGCATGATAGCCCAAGGACTTAGATCCCTCCCACCCACGTGGGAGACCCAGGAGCAATTCTTGACTCCTGGCTCCTGATTTGGGCCTGATCCAGCAGATGGAAGAACTCTTCCTAAAGTCTCTGTCACTCTACCTTTTAAATAAATCTTTTAGAAAGGAAAGAAAGGGGCCTGTCACGGTAGCCTGGCAGCTAAAATCCTCACCTTGCATGTGCAGGGATCCCATATGGGTGCCAGTTCTATTCCTGGCAGCCCCGCTTCCCATCCAGCTCCCTGCTTGTAGCCTGGGAAAGCAGTCAAGGATGGCCCAAAGCCTTGGGACCCTGCACCAGTGTGGGAGACTCAGAAGAAGCTGTGGGCTCCTGGCTTCAGATCGGTGCAACTCTGGCCATTGCAGCTGCTTGGGGAGTGAATCAATGGATGGTAGGTCTTCCTCTCTGTCTCTCCTCCTCTCTGTATATCTGACTTCCCAATAAAGAAAATTGCAATCAAATGCTCTACCACTGAGCTATACCCCCAGCAATAAAGAAAATTATATATTTTTTTAAAAGGCAAGATGGACAAATAACATGACGGGGCTCAGGAGTTGTATCAAGTGAGGACTTGACCTTGGGAAGAAGGTCCAAGTATATCCCGCAAAGGAGCCCAAGGGTGTCCTGGGTCGTTGGTAAGGAATGGATCAAACCCCTATGTTCTTTGATTTAATCTGATCACGTGACTTTCTCCTTAGATATCAAAGTTGTCTGAAGACTATTTCATTCTGCAGAAAAGACTAAATGAAATGATTATGTCCCAGCACCTGAAGCCACTTCCCCCCGGCGTCTACCCCCACAAGACAGCTAACAAGCGAGTCTCTTCCCAGCTGTGCCTCTCAGGTAGGACTTCCTGCAGGGAAGGGAAGGCCAGCTTTCCTTTCATTTGTTTATTTGTTTGTTTGTTTGTTTGTTCATTCTTTCGTTTAGCTCCCCACCTTTGTTCAAGGGCGAATTTGAGATAGCCATGGCCTGATTAGGGAGAACTTTGGTTTCATCCATTTCTTATAAACAGATACATTTTTTCTCCAAGAAGATTCTAACCACCTGTTATCTTCTCTGACTTCGTTCTCCTCCCCTATTAATCTTTTTCATCCTTCTATCCACTATAACTAGAATGAAACACACAGATGAGAGTAAGAAGGGAAAATAGAGAATTGGGGTCCAGGTAGATTTGAAAAGAGAGAGGTGGGGAGTAGGTGGAAGGCTTTTATTGCTTTCAGCAGCTTCTGCAATCTTGAGTATTAAGTGTGGAATGTGCACACCCCCAGGCAGGTGTATAAACTCTGATGCACAACCAAAAGCACTATTAAATGGACTTCTGGTCAACCTCAGTCACAGTCCACCTTCATGACACATTATGTAGAAAATATCAAGACCAACTTGACTGCCTGGTATGGGAGGAAGGGGAAATACCTTAATGTTTTCCATCAGTTATCCTGTTGTGTTGCTTTCAAGTCTGGAATTGTACTCATGCTTAAATATGTATATTCCACAAAGTGGCTGTTTGTACCACTACTTAACCTGCCTGCTGCCCCTTTGGCCCAGGCCAGATCCTCTTGCTGTGTGTGACATAGAGCCGGGGCCTCTAACTCTAGCTGTTGCCAGAGTTTGTATCAGAATCTGCTGATAGAGAATGAGGAAGGTGGTGCCTGTGGCAGAGTTGGTGAGTACGGTAGAGGGTGCAGGATGTTGGGCTAGGCCTGATGTAACACCAACCAAAGAGACAAGATGGAGGTAGGGGCCTGTGTCCTGCGGAGGGGGCAGTAGCCACAGACTATAGCCATGACTTCTGCTTTTTAACAGCTCAGAGACTCTGAATAGATCTGGGAAGCAGTAGAATTGAAAGTCAGATGAGCTTGGGAGAATTATTTGTTTTTATTTCATTTTGTTTTTCTATAGATGTATGAAAAACTTGGAAACTTCAATTCTTAGTTTACCCTGAAACATGTCCTAGACCCTTCAGTTTTAGCAAGGAGACTTTTTGTTTTCTGCCTGGATGGTGAGGCTGTGAGTTCTACTGCTTTGATTTAAGGCTAAATCAGGGAATATCTGGATTATCCCTCATTCCCCAGAGGAACAGAGAAAGGGTCCACAAGAGACCTTGAGTGGAAACAAGGCACACAGGGCAGACCTGACTGTCCAGACCCAGGAATGAGGCAGGATATGGGGGAGGCCAACCAGGGTGGTGAGCAGGGATTAAACAGGATGTGTCAGCACTAAGAGACACCATGGACAGTCCAGAGAAGCTTCAGAGCGCATGGTTGCTCCCCGTGTAAGGCAGGGAGCAGCAAAAGTCCCCCACCCCACCTCCAACTTAGATGTGACCTGGGGAAGAGTAGAGTAGGAACCTAAAGTGACTAAGTGCTATCAGAAGACAGAAAACAAAAACACAGCTGAATCTAGCAAGCACATGCTCAGAGCAGTGCAAGAAGGCAGAAATGAGCCTTAAGAGGTAGACGCTAAGCCTCCTCCTGGGAAAATTGAGTTGTGTTTCTGTCCATCTGAACTATTGTACATAGTACTCACCCTCCTGTTGAAAGGAGACAGCTTCTCAGATGGGCAGGTAGACACCAATGTGGTAACCAAAGCCATGAAGAAGATGCAATGGCCCAGAAAGTGAGGCGAGGAAAGAGCCAGGGCAGCAATTCAGACACATGAGGGACACAGCATGAAGAACCAGCACCCAAAGGCAAGGAAGAAAAAATCAGGGAGCCCAGAGCCCCCAGAATCTCAGAGGAGAGAGTTTTATGGAGAGCACATTGTATAGAATGACACTGAGAGAACAGGAAGGAAGAGAGCTGGAAGATATCCACTGGGGTTCCACTTCATCAGGAGTTACTTACTGAGTTCCCCAGACAATTGCTAAGGATCAAAAGAACTCCAGATGGAAAAAGGAGATGCAGATAATCATGGGATCACCTTTCTGGAGACTTATACTCAGTATCTGCAGATATATTCTTTGTCCATTTTAATGATCTGTTTGATGAACTTTGAGAGTCCAAAGGATTCTAAGATCACAAACTGGACTAGGTGTCACCTGATGGATGAGAAATCCTCGTAGTGCATCCAGTCCACTGTTGTCCATTGAACATCCTGGCTGCTTTGCTGCAGTATGGACATGTTCTACTCTAAACTTCACACTCGTAATTTTCTTCATGGCATAGTCTATGTTTGCCTCCTTTGAGCCACCTTTACACCAGTGTTGTACGCCCTGCAAATCAAGAGCACCTTTGCTGTAAGGAGAGGAGTTCCAATACAACAATCTGGATGAATTTACCTCCAAAGCTGTTTCCTCAAATAGATTTTCAGACATTTATAAGTAGGATCGTGTCACATTCTCTGTACTCATGTATCCATGACACATTAAAGATTCAGTAACTTCTAATAAATTGGCTGGAAAGCAGCCTGATTTTGTTTGTGCGTGGCCAGTGGAGTGGTGTTTGAAAGTTTGGTTTATACCCTTAAAAAACAGTGTAATGTTACAGAGCTTAGAATTTCATACATTTTCCCAGGCCATGTGAGTCTAAGCCCCACTGGTGAGAGCAGAGATCTGCTATCTCCTTACTGAATCTGAGTTCCTGACCATGGAGCCTTGAAGTGTCAGCAGCTGTCCCTGCCTGACCAGGAAGAATGCAAGCAGATTTAGCCCATGTAAGATGGGACAGATGAGGTTCCCCAGGTCACTGGTGCTGCACTGTTCCTCCCCAGGCAAGCTTCCAGTCAGAAAGCCAGAATCAAGCACACTTACGTATTATCCTGAGGTGAAAACAGCCCATGAGATCCCTAAAATTTTAATTTTCTCATATGTCTCAAAAGTCTACTGGCAGGAGCAGGAGCTGTGCTGGAGCCCCCTCCCCTTGGATACTGGCATCCCATATAGTTTCCACCCTTGCTTCCTGCTGATGTACATCTGATGGGCCGAGTGCCTGGGACCCTGTCACCTGTGTGGGAGATCTGCATGCAGTGTTTGGCTCCTTTGTCCAAAGTGGCTCACCAGCAGCTGCTGCTGTGAGCATTTAAGGAGTGAATCAAAGGACAAGAGATTCTCTCTCTCTCTGCTTTTCAAATAAGTAAATAAATAAAACTATAAAAATATAAAAGGAAACATAATGACAAATTTTTGGACTATCTGAAGACATCATCATATAATTGCTGTATCCCAACTCTGTGGATTTTTTTAAGATTTACTTTACTTTTTATTGGAAAAGCAGATACACAGAGAAGAGATACGGAGAGAAAACTCTGTCATCCATTGGCTCACTCCCCAAGAGGCCACAATGGCCAAAAATGAGCCAATCCAAAGACAAGAACCAGAAACTTCTTCTGAGTCTCCCACAAGAATGTAGAGTCCCAAGGCCTTGAATCATCCTTTACTGCTTTCCCAGGCCACAAACAGCGAAATGATTGGAAAGTGGAGCAGCTAAGATCTGAACCAGAACCCATGTGGGATCCTGGTGGATGCCAGAAGAAGATTCAGCCACTGGAATATTGTCCCAGGCCCCCCACCTCTGTTTTAAGTACTCAGTAAGTTGCGCTCCTGGCTCCTGGCTCCTGCCTTCAGATGGGCTCAACTCTGGGGAATGAACTAGCAGATGGAAGATCTTCCTGTCTGTCTCTCTTTCTCTTTGTAAATCTGCCTTTCCAATAAAAATAAATAAATCTTTTTTTAAAAAAAAATCTCTGTAAGTCTTAGCTGAATTATATAAAGCAGCCTGTAGAAGATTCTTACTTGGAAAAAAAAATAGTATCCTAGTAAACATGGGAACTAAATGAGGATGATTAAGTTTTCCAAATGAATTTTAACCAACTGTGTAAGGGACTTACTTTATAAGGTACTGTTTCTAAATATGCGAGAACGTCAAGAATAAAATTAGGACCAAATGAAAGCTAAGTAGCTCATTATAATAAATACATGAGCTACTAACTGTGACTGTGTGTTTGAATGCCAGTTGTCACACACGAAACCCTCCAGAAGCTAGCTGCACCTGTGTGTTCATTGAGAGAGACGTGGTATAGGATGCACACAGCAGAGCCAGGCTGTTAGCTGGCAGAGCCTAGGAACTGCTCTTGTGTTGACATTGTGCCTTTGTCTTCATGGCACTGTTTCTGCCTGTGTTATGTTCCTTTACTGGGCTGTTTCCTTCTCCTTCTCCCACTCCGTCTCTCTCTTCCTGTCCCCCCCACTCTCCCTTTCCTCTTTCTCTCCACGTCCCTCTCTTTCTCGTTCTGTCTCTATTTACTAAGGAAATAGAAAAAGCTCCCATCCCAAATGCTCACAACAGCTGGGGATGGGCTGAGCCAAAGCTGGAAATTGGGAACTCCATCCAGGTCTCCTGGGCGACAGAACCCATTCACTTGAGCCATCATAGCTGTTTCCCACATTCTGCTTTAGTGGGAAGCTGGAGTTGGGAATTGGAGCAAGGGTCAAATCCAGGCACTCCAAAATGAAAGTAGTATGTTCCTGTTCTCTGTCTGAATGATGATGTATCTCGTGGTTGGTGTTGAACGTTGTAGAAAAGAGAGGAAAAAATGATTGATTACAGGTCATATAAATCCTAATCAAACAAGGACACATCCTCATTATCCTTTGAAAAGAGATTGGGCTCTGAATTTTTGAATGGGCTTCAGGGTTAACATAGAAGGATGCTGTTATAATCCCATGCTTCATTTGCATAACATCACCAGTAAGTTCAACACTAGATTGGAACAACCTCCTGATATGTGCGCAGACACTTGACCTCATGAAAATGCTGTTACGGTGCTTCTAAAGGGTCACAAGAAATAGCGATTTTCCATTGATTCTGAAATGTTTATGCCATTTGGATTCATACAATGATCCC